CCGAGTAGACTGCTTCTTGTCCTACATCCAGACTGCTATTTTTTTAACTCTCTGTCTCTTTTCTAGCTCCTGTAGCGCAGGAAGGTGCTACCCATGCACCGTCTGCCGTCTAACCTGTGTGCTGTTTTTACTTCCTTATTCTCGTCTTAGGGACGGCGCACGCGCGTGTATGTGTGTTTGTGTTCCCTTGCACACGAATTGCCATTGCGCACACTTGTTTGCATTTCTGTATGATTGCTTGCATTTGCGTGTGCATGTTTGAATTTACGTGTACATGTTTGAATTTATGTGTACACGTGTGAATTTACGTGTCCATGTGTGAATTTACGTGTCCATGTGTGAATTTACGTGTCCATGTGTGAATTTACGTGTCCATGTGTGAATTTACGTGTCCATGTGTGAATTTACGTGTCCATGTGAGAATTTACGTGTCCATGTGTGAATTTACGTGTGCATGTGTGAATTTACGTGTCCATGTGTGAATTTACGTGTCCATGTGTGAATTTACGTGTGCATGTTGAAATATGAGTGCGCATACTTGCCACAGTGTTGCCACGCTTGCGTGCATCAGTGTATAAGAGAGAAATACAACCGGCGCGATATAATTCAGCAGTAGCGTAAGATATCGCTCGTTAAATCCGCATTTACGACCTCCACTTATATCACTTCGGAGTTTACACTTCGTCAACAAGTGGTACTAAGGTGACCACAGAATCACACGCGGCTTATGTTAATGGTTTATAACCGGTTGGTGGTGAGGAGAGGGAAAGGGGGGTAAGGGGGAGATGAGGCGAAAGGGGAAGTGGTAAGGGGAAGAGGCAGGGAGGAAATGAAAGGGGTAGTGAAGGTGGTGAGGGAAGAGGGTTGGAGTGAAGGAGCAAGGTGTTTGTGATCATAAATAAAGACGAGGTAGCGTAGAGGAAACTGGAGGAGGAAGAAGGAACAGGCAAAAGGAAAATAAAAATGATCTGAGAAAGGCAGAGATGGAGGAATAGATTGAGCAATTTACGAATGATAGATAAAGTCGGATTAACACAGGATATACATATACTCCCAGTGATAGCAACTATTGTCAACTGAGGTTGGTTTAATGCGCTGTATAGCGTATGGAGGAACAGCATGAATGGAGGAGAGTTCACGAAACGCAAAAGATTCCTGTGAGCCACCAGGGATGACACTTACACATCAGCTCTTGAACTGTATGGCAACATGCTTGCTAGAGGAAGGGAATGCGCATTAGAAAAACATTTCGGCACACAAAAACCCACTTGAACGAACACACACAAGGCGGGATATTGTGTGTAAGGCGGGATCCAAGAGTCAATGCTCGATCCTGCAGGCACGAATAGGTGAGCACACACACACGCACACACACACACACACACACACGCACACACACACACACACACACACACACAAGCTCACACACACACACACACACACACACACACACACACACACACACACACACACACACACACACACACACACACACACAAAGGACCAAGGGACCGAGAACATAGAGCCAAAGCTCAACCCCAGCAAGCTCAACCAGGTGAGTACACACTCTCATAACCACATACAATCACCTTCTGTGCCCCAACAAACACTTGTTGGGTCCCATAGAAATCAGTCCCAGCCTCAACAGTCACTGCCTAGGACCCACAAGGATCAATACTCATCACAATACACTAATTAATTACAGTGACTTGCAGGAGATATTAAGTAACTATATGAGTATCTTTATATATAACAACTTCTGCATCTCATATAAGCAGAGATTTCTGTGATGGGTGTCTTCGTGGGCTTTGGCTTGTGTGGTTTTCTGGAGTTCAGTGTTTTAACATCGTAAGGGAATTTGTTAGTGATATTCAGGGCGCTGTGACTTTCGATTTGATGGCATGCTTTTAGTCGCGATGGCATGCTGTTTTGGTCACGTGGGCATGATATTGGTCGTGAGGGCATGATATCTGGTCGTGAGGGCATGATATCTGGTTATGAGGGCATGATATCTGGTCATGAGGGCATGAGATCTGGTCATGAGGGCATGATATCTGGTCATGAGGGCATGATGTCTGGTCATGAGGGCATGAGATCTGGTCATGAGGGCATGATATCTGGTCATGAGGGTATGATATCTGGTTATGAGGGCATGATATCTGGTCATGAGGGCATGATATCTGGTCATGAGGGCATGATATCTGGACATGAGGGCATAATAGTTGTCATGAGGGCATGATATTTGTCATGTGGACATGATATTCTGGTCCTGACAGTATCAGTGTCGTCATTGCGGTCTGCTCCTTCTGAATCTGACAGCGAGTCACTGTTTTTTTTTCCGGCTTGTCCTTCAGGATTTGACGTCTTGTCAGTTTGGTCGCGAGGTGTGAGGTTTGACGGACTTTTGTAAATACGTCCTCTACCGACATGAATACACTTCTGAATATGAATACGTGAAGTGCGAATACACTTCACGTGACGCAAGTGTATTTGCATGTGTGGGGATGGTGTGTGTATGTGTGTGTGTGTGTGTATGTATCTGTGTTGTGCTCACCAAGTTGAACTTGCGGGGGTTGAGCTTTGGCTCTTTAGTCCCGCCTCTCAACTGTCAGTCAACTGGTACTCTGTGTATGTGTGTGTGTGTGTGGTGTGTGTGTGTGTGTGTGTGTGTGTGTGTGTGTGTGTGTGTGTGTGTGTGTGTGTGTGTGAAGGCTCGCGAACGCGCGTGCATCAACCTAAAGAACACCTCCATCACAAATTGATGACCATTGGTGCCTTGGGGGCACGTTTCTGCCCCGTTATGAATGACTGACGAATTATTTCCGACAGAAGATTGCCATAGGAACAACACAGGACCCGGAAACCCCTCGCATAAAACCACTCTCAGGAGCCTCACATGAAGCTCAACTCAAAAGCTTCGCACGTAGCTTCACGCAGAAGCCACGCATGGAGAATCACCTCAACACCAATCACGAAGCCTCACTAACAAACCACCCATGAAGCCTGAACATTAAAAGCCTCTCTGGGCTGCTACATCCCCTCAAATTGGATGGCATGATTAAATATGTTTCCAGCACTTCTCTTTACCACCCCAGTGTGGTCCCTGAGCGCACTCCCACACTGGCGGAATACCAAATGTAGAATACGAATCCTTATATACACTCAAATTTAAGCACCCGGTTATAAAAGGATACTAGTTATGAAATACTCCTAAATTGGATACATGAAACTGTTTCCCCGACTTGCGCGCTGCTTGAACTAAAGCTCTTGTAAACCCCCAATACAGTCTCTTCTTCATAACACAGAGGGTGCTAAGATCACGACCCAGACCACAATGGCATGTACTTATTGTAACTCAATTTTTGGGGAAAACACGACAGGAACTGCAGCTGTAAAGGATAAAAATTTCGGGGATTAGCTGATACCTGGAGAGAGAGAGAGAGAGAGAGAGAGAGAGAGAGAGAGAGAGAGAGAGAGAGAGAGAGAGAGAGAGAGAGAGAGAGAGAGGGGCTGAGTGTAGCCAATATAGCGAGTGCCATAACAGTTTGTCATGGCTGTACTGGGCCGTAAACGCCAAGGCCCACTCATAACACGGCCCTCATATGATCATGCTTCACTATTTTATGCCTGAAAACTCCTGGGAACTGTCATCAATATATGAGGTAATGCATAGTCAACGATGTTTCCTCCTCCGAAATAAGGGAGTACTACAGGTACAGAGGAAGAGAGAGAGAGAGAGAGAGAGAGAGAGAGAGAGAGAGAGAGAGAGAGAGAGAGGGGGGGGGGAGGCAGGCAGACAGACAGAGAAAGAAGACAAACTTACACATACATTCACATAAACATATATATGTAAACAAACACACACACACACACACACACACACACACACACAAGTTTTGCAACAAGGCATTTCCTAACTGGAAGAGACAGAAACAAAACAGAAGCAGCGGCTCACACACTAGACACGCTGCGCCTTCATATACGTAACTAAACAGCACTGCTGAGAACACAAGAACCATTTACACACCGGAAATCTACTATAACAACGTTACAATAGAACATAACGCGAATGAACTTGCATTTCTCCAGCATAATTACTCCATGTTCCACCTCGAGTATATATATCTAACTAGATAGACGATGATCTCCCATCAGTATCATGACAACTTGTACGTATTGCGTATTTGAAGAGACGCAAGACTGCCCTGGTGACCGTGAAAAGGAAAATGATACGAGTGAAAGAGTTTCTTTCGTCATCTTGGCCTATAAAGTGATTCTGTTTACTAGTGAAAATATCTTTTTATGCCTTTACGTGTGATTCTGTTAGCATGTGGGATTCTAGGGGTAATCACGTTACTCATTGCTCTTTAAAAGTTGGGAAAGTAAATTTGGTAATTTTTTCTTAAGAAACCAGTTCATTATCTGTTATAACTCTTGAGTGAGACGCGAGGTTAGCACTCAGTTAATGTACATAAGTGTAACTAATATGTTGTATAAAACACTGGAGTCCTTTTTGTAACGTTGGCGAGCTATGGCATCAGAGAATGTGTGTGAAGCGGCGTTATTCCCATAAATATGGAGTATCTACTTGCAGAGATATAATCTAACTGTGGTTACACACCAACACTTCAACCTAATACGCACATCTTTTACCGGAATCCGACCAATCCTGTAAACCTCTTAGAAAAACTTAAATCTCTGTATTATTTACTTAGTCTTCACATCGGTCGTGCGGTTAAACGTGTTGCTTGACATCGTACATTTCTGGTGGGTAAAACAGTTGCATTTTAATACAATGACAAACCGAAAGCACGGGAGCATAACATAAATATTTACAATAATCCCAAAACTTATCCCTAAGTTTTGGGATGGTTGTTCTCATCTCTTAAGACGAACAACCACCGCATAATAACATCACCTGCCTGTAAACACCAATAATACCGATACAAGCACATATGGGTACACATGCCAGTGGACGCAAGGATACTATGAGGACCTACCTGTAGATGGGGACGGTGGGCTGCGTCTCCTTGTACCAGAGAGCGAGGAGGGGCTTATCATTTTGGTCCGCAGGTAGAGGAACCAGACAAGGAAGCTCTGCTTGTCCTCTCACCACAGTCCACTCCGAGAACCACGCTGGGGGAGAGGGAGAGACAAACACCTCTCGTCAGGAGATACAAGACAGAACTGTAGAATCAGAGGGAAAAGGGATTTAATTACAGTGGAAATTAAAAGAAGGGAACTATCAGGGGGGAAAGCTCCAAGTCATTATGACTATATAGCACTTGGAAGGGGTCAGGATAAGGATTTGGGATGGGAAGGGGGGGGGGGGAGGAATGGTGCCCAACCACTTGGACGGTCTGGGATTGAACGCCGACCTGCATGATGCAAGATCGTCGCTCTACCGTCCAGCCCAAGTGGCTGGGAAAGAGAGAGAGTCGCGGGTGTGAAAGGGGGACATGAATGAATATGATGATTGTGATAATGATGATGAAGAATTACATTATAATTACAAACACTATAATCTTCTCAAATACGCGCTAAAGAAGGCGAGAAAAGATACTTGACATTTCATGTTAGTAAGACAACGTGCTTCTCCTGGGCGCCACAACAACGCCATCACTGTCGACGCCACAACGAAGTCACTAATGGCGCAACAATGAGCTCAATAGTGACAACGCGAAGTCACTGGCGTCGCAATGACGACGTCACTGACCTGAAATAAAGAAGCCACGGGTATAGCAACAATGAACTCACTTGCGCCGCAACAGTGAGGTCACTGACTTCCGCGAAATCACTGCCTGCTCAACAAATAAGTCACTGAGATCGCAACAGCGTCACTGCTACACTTCAATAAGGTCACTAAGGTTGCCACATTGAGGTCACTGGAGTCGCAGCATCGAGGTCATGGCCGAGGCGAAAGCAATCACCCGCGCAAAAACTCATCAAACTTATAATTTAGATTCAAACTTCAGTCTGACGTCCTAACAGGAAGACTTCAGCCAAGAAGATGATGATTCTGCGACCAACAGAACCAGGGGGATTCATCATCTCTAGTGGATATAACGCTAATAGTCTATCCTCTATCCTTGACTAGAAGAGGTGTTTCAGCAATCCGTCCTCTCAGCTAATGCGCTTCATTTTGTACGCCATGATTCCCAACGTGCAAAATGAAGGGTACTATGAAAAAGTATCGGCTCAAATGTCCACATTTGTGAGCCGATACTCTCTCTCTCGTCTCTCTCTCTCTCTCTCTCTCTCTCTCTCTCTCTCTCTCCTCTCTCTCCTCTCTCTCCCTCTCTCAGCTCTCTCGTCTCTCTCCCTCTCTCTCCCTCATCTCCTCTCTCTCTCTCTCTCTCTCTCTCCTCCTTCCTATCTCTCTCTCTCTCTCGTCTACTCTCTCTCCGAGTCTCTCTCTCTCTCTCTCTCTCCTCTCTCCCCTCTCTCCTTCTCTCTCTCTCTCTCTCTCTCGTCTCTTCTCTCTCTCTCTCTCTCTCTCTCTCCTCTCTCTCTCTCTCTCTCTCTCTCTCTCGCTCTCTCTCTCTCTCTCTCTCTCCTCTCTCTCTCTCTCGTTTTGTTCTGCGATAAATTGTTGACATACGTTTATCTGGTCAATACACCACCGTCCATGATGTTAAGACAAGCTTCCTGAAGCGAATGGTCGGACTTAAGTCCGTTATTGCTCATAGCTGAATGACCATGTAAATATTAGCAGATTAGTGTAGTTGGCAGTTAGAGTAATGCTTTAATGAATCTGTATATGCATTTTACAACACGCTAGCACAGCTGCCGTTTATTTTATTAATGTCTGTAGACAGACTTCCAGGCAATTTATTTATGGCGCTAACACGTTCACGCATGCAGGGTCCTTGCTCAAACTAACTCAAAACATGAACATTCAAAACCACAAGCACTCACAAAAAACATAACTGCATAAAACCCCAAATGAACACACACACAAACACACACACACACACACACACACAAACACACACACACACACACACACACACACACACACACACACACACACACACACACACACACACACACACACACACACACAAAATCACAAACACAACCACGAACAAACCAGCTAATGAGCTGTTGTGCAAAGTTACAGAATGCCATGATTTGAGTAAATTATGACAATCTTGCAAGCGTAATATTGACACAATAAACAACATTAAATATTTAATCTCTCTATATATACACTTTACCCGAAGGAGAGGCTATATTAAAAAAAAATCAAAGGCTTCCTACATTTCGTAATTTAACTCGGAGCATTCAAGATGTTTGTCAGTCGTTCATATTACAGTAGGTCGTCTGCACTCATGACGACCAGTGTGCCGAGTTGGAACAAAACATCATCGTTCCGTTTCTCTAATTGCCCTTTCGAGAGCAAAATAAGCAGTTAAGGTGTCATTTACCGCCGCCGCTATAACCATTTGGAACTGGAAAACGCCTCTAATGACTCTTGTGCTGCTCCTCCTCCTTCAGAAGCTTCGCGCGCATGAGTCGGGGACATCGTAATTCTCCAGAAGGGAACACCAAGAGAGAGAGAGAGAGAGAGAGAGAGAGAGAGAGAGAGAGAGAGAGAGAGAGAGGGAGGGTTAAGTCTCAAGATGAGACAAAAGGATGCTTGGTGAGTAGAACTCAAAGAGTAGACAACGATGCAGCGAAGCACCTGCCTGTTGTTTACACCAACGACTCCTGTGTCACAGACACCAGGTGCGAACGACCGAATCTCAATATGTTATCATAGCAGGATACATCATCGGAAGAAAAGGCATATAATCTGTAGTCAATTAAGACAATAACAAACTAGAATGGAGTGGATTTAAACACTGCAGTGCTGCTGGCTAACTTCGCTCTAGAACAAAAATCAGGTTGTGAAACTATTAAATCCTGCCACGTGTGCCCTGACCCGCCCTTCACCTGACCTTCTTTTATCCATTTATAAGCAGCTACACTGCGTTTTCTGTTCCGAGTTGCTGAATCTAAAACAACAGTATTTGTGTCACGACCAAATATCATATTCACTCGAAAAAATATATCACTTACGGGCTATTCATGGCCATGACACCTCTTGGGTGGCTCTTCATCAATCATCAATCGTATTTGTGTCAGATCGGATTTGGCCCTTACAGGTAAAACTTCATTTTTAAATCTTTTCGCGTGTTTTTTTCTTTTTACAAAGAAAAAACATAAAATATACAGGAATGTGGGAATGAAAATTTGGGCGCATTGGCAGGAAAGGAGAATATTTCATTTCCTTCCTATTCCTTGAGGAAAAGGAAAGGAAATGCCAGTTTGAAGGATTCTTACCCCGCCTCTATTGACATCTACAGGACTGTCTCTCCTGTAAAAGAGTACGAGGTGTTTGCTTGTTAATTAGTGTCCGAACACGTAAAATCTTAATAGCTTTTCATGTCTGATTAGTGGCCCTTAACCTAACTTTTATTCAATCGTCGAGACAATCTTGGAAAAGGTGGATTAACATCCCACTCTCCGTCAACACACTGCTAATGACAAGGTGTTGGTTTAACCCAGAGATACACTCGGCTGATGATGGGGTGTCCTCCTTCCCTAGTTCACTCAACTAGTGATGTAGTGTACTGTTCCTCCCCAGGTACTCGCAATTAGTGATGAGGTGAAATGTTCCTCCCCAGGTACACACAATTAGTGACGAGGTGAAATGTTCCTCCCCCCAGGTACACGCAATTAGTGATGAGGTGAAATGTTCCTCCCCCCAGGTACACGCAATTAGTGATGAGGTGAAATGTTCCTCCCCCCAGGTACACGCAATTAGTGATGAGGTGAAATGTTCCTCCCCAGGTACTCGCAATTAGTGATGAGGTGAAATGTTCCTTCCCAGGTACACGCAATTAGTGATGAGGTGAAATGTTCCTCCCCCCAGGTACACGCAACTAGTGATGGGGTGTAATATTCTTCCCCAGAAGCACCTAACTGGGGATGGGGTATAATGCTATTTCCCCAGATGCACCAAGGTGGAGTGTAGCTTTCCTTGCTACAGACTCGTAGCAAAGTAACTTTCCTTGTAACTCGTAGCCGGTGATGTGCCTAAAATGAATACATCCAGCATGCCATAGGTACTGTCTTACTACCCACATATAGTTAATAATATATTTTGGTCTATCTCCTAAGATACACTTTGTTAGTAATGTTATTTTTCGATCACATTGCTAAGCAAAACATTTCTCTGGTGCAGTAAGAACTTGGTCGTTAGAATGCAATAAGGAATTAATGGTCTAACATTTGATCAGTTTTCAATTTTAGCTCGATATGCCCAGCAGAAAAACGCTAACCTTTGGAGAAAGGCTATGTTACCCAAAATGACCACATGACGTACATCCACTAAGTTATGCTTCTTTAGGTTAGGTTAAGTTCGGTCATATGTCTTCGTAAGTTTTAACTAAAAATAAAAAAAAAAATCAAACATAATGAAATGGATAGCTTTATCATTTCATAAGAAAAAATAGAAAAATATATAAATTCAGGAGAACTTGGCTTATTAGACAAATCGTGCCTTGCATAGTAGGCCGAGTACGGCGTTCTGACTACAATGTGACAGTGTCAGACCACGGAGGAAGAATTGAAATTCCATTTAGTTTCAATTCTTCCTCCGTGGTCTGATACTGTCATATATATGTATGTATGTATGTATATATATATATATATATATATATATATATATATATATATATATATATATATATATATATATAATATATATATATATATATATATATATATAAATTATATAGTAGCTAAATTATTTATTAATTAAATAAAGTCTCTTGAACTCCGATATTTAAAATTTGTGTAAACATATTCAGTTTCATGTTGTCGAGTGAATTTACATATATTTCGTAAGTTGAGAATAAAAGAATTTTCGCATAAAAACCACCATAAAATGCCTCTTCAGAATGCATAATTGTTATTCAAGATTTTTCATATGTTTTAAATTCAGCCCTTAACTGTTATCTGTAATGGGAAAAATATGTAGATAGAAACCGATACGAAACATAATTACATAAAAAACATATGAATAAAAATCAATTCATAACTTCTATTGGATTATACAAGGCAGATCGTATTTATATCCCCCCAAC